AGTATTTTCAATTCTTACAACTTTCTTCCCTTTCCACTCTCCTTGAAATTTTTCTTTAAAATATTTGGATTCCATCGGTTTTTTCGTATAAAATCTCATTCCTTTCAATACTTTCATCAGAGTCAATAAACGTAATTTGAATAAAGATATCAGTTGATCTGGATCAGAAAAAATTTCGTTCAATAAATTGGTAAAGACTCCAAGTTGCAGGTGGGTTATTGAAATTATAATTATATTTGATATCTGTAACTTTTTGATGAGTTTTTGACCTGGATGATCGATTGACAAAAGTTTTCCCAATTCCAAGCTTGTGTCTTTGTTCTCTCTCGTTTATATTATTTGAACGTTCAAATGGTGTTTTAATAGCTTCAAGAGAAACAGAAATATAATTTCTAGCTCCTAAATCACCATTCGGATATAAATGTAATTGCCATAAAGTAGGCTTGATATCATCATCATGACAATTTTGTGGGTTCCAAAATTTTGGACTGAAAAGGTATCTCCATGAGATATTTTTCTAACATAATCTTGAAAACTTCCAATTCCCAGATAAACGTATTTGCGATTTCAACCCATTTTTTTTTTCGTATTTAAAAGATAAAAATCGAAAAAAAAAAATTTAAGATTGTTCTAAATTATCAAAATATATAATTGTTTCCATTAAAGATAATTCGGGTGGCTGTGATCACATGCCTTCGTCTTTGCTCTAAATGATGTAATTTAAAGATCATCGATGTTTTTATAAGAAACTTCATTCTAAAAGTAATCAAGAAAGTGAGATGTCACGTGACCGAGAATGCAAATCCTAGTTCCATTTGTATGAAAAGTTCTCAGCTCAGTCTGTTCTGAACAACCGTGAAAGAATGTAAAATAGTTTTACTTTTTACAAAAAAAAAGAGGAAAGATCTAAAAAGATACATTAAGGCAAAGACGTACAGTACACTAAGCGATCAGTATTGATGAGCGAGCCTCTAAAATAAATTTTTTTTGGATGGCAAGTCGAGTGGACACAAAAAAAGAAGAGAAAGCTTTTTGAGAAGGAACAGCTCAAACATTCTAACCTGCTAGATGTGAGGCGTAAGAATTTATTATTTCACAAATTCCTGTACTGCGATTTCTTGCAATCCTAGTTTCTTATCATTAATAAATA